ATAGAATAGAATAGAATAGAATAGAATAGAATAGAATTCTTTATTGGCCAAGTGTGATTGGACACACAAGGAATTTGGTACATAAGCTCTCATTGTACATAAAAGCTATAAGTGATAAATCATGATCATAATCATCATAAAAATACATTCATCATAAATCATAAGATACAGCACCTAGTGATAGAATCAACATAAATCCTTTTAGGAATCTAAATAAAACAATATACATTGTAAAGATACAAGCAACGAAGTTATAGTTATAAATAGGAAAGGAGATAGGTAATAGGAAAGTTGAGAAGAATATTAATACAGCCTTACTAAATAGTTCAACATTGTTGTGGGAAATAGTTGTTTAGCAGAGCGATATTCAATCCTAAATCATTGGAGTTTTCTTGAAAGACATTTATGCATGCAATTTCCCATAGGGATGTTCATAATATTTCAGGTTGATTTCTTGCTCTCTGTCTCCAGTATTGTAGGAGCATGCAGTTGGAAAAGAGCAAATTGGATGTCATGTTTTGTCTAGGAATGGGAATCTTTGGTATTTTGGACTACTTAATATTTCCAGCCCTGGACCCCTCCCCACCCCCCATTAAAATAGTCAAACTTTCATATGAAACTGCAGTGCATTATTTTTAATGTTGTAAAACTCTGAAGTGAAAATGCAGAGAAACCCTTTGGGGCCTGCTCCGTTCCCTGTGAGCTATTAAACTGATATCTAGAGATATGGAAATGTGTATCCTTACCTCCAGATGGAAATGGGGGACTCGAGAGCAATGTATGGATGAAGAGGAAATAAAAAGCCTTCACCTATCCTAATTCTGTAGGCCTTTGCAGAATACCACAAGTTCATTTCCTATCCGTGACTCAGAAGATTAGAGAGAGAGCAATGTTTCCATACTTTTTTTTCCTAACACATAAAGAGGATTATATGTCCAGGTAGTTCTCAACTTACAGCAGACCACGTAAAGTTACGATGGCACCGGAAAAAAGTGACTTATGACTGTTTTTCACACTTGTGACAGTTGCAGCATCCCCATGGTTGCATGGTCAATTGGCCCCCAACAATCTGGCTCCTAATTTTACCCACCTCGGAAGGATGGGAGGCTCAGTCAACCTTAAACCTGGTGATTATTTGAACTGCCTCCAATTTGGTAGATCGAATCCCACCAGGTTCCAAGATTGACTGAGCCTCCTATCCTTCTGAGGTGGGTAAAATGAGGAGCCAGATTGCGGGGGGGGGGGGGGGGATAGGCTGACTGTATAAACCACTTAAAGGAGACAATAAAGCAACATAAATTGGTATATGCCTAAGTGCTATTGCTACGATCAAAATTTGGGTGCTTGGCAACTGGTTCATATTTATGAATGTATAAATCATAGTATACCAATAGGAGGAGATAAGTAGGAAAGACGAGAGGTGAGAAAGGTGAGAAGATGACAAGGACATTCCTAAAAACAAATATTTATTTTTTCAGTGTAAATACTACTGCTGTTCGGTCAGCCCTCCCTTTCTCTGGGTCCTCTTTTGGTGATCAGATGCATGGAAAGCTGCTGAGAGTGAAGATTCATAATGCTTTTGTTTAAATCTTTGCTGATAGCATGTTATTGAGCAACCAAAGATGCTTTGTCATCAACGCCATGGTTTGACTTCAGAAGTAGCCTGCCTTGCTTGGCAGTTTTAACAGGGGACAGTGCATCTGAAAGGAGCCTGAATCTCTTTATTATGTCCCTTTATTGGCATGCTGAATGATAAAAGCTGAAACACCCAGAGGATAAGAAAAGCAAATGCTCCTTTCTGTTGCCTCACTCCTCCACTAATGGAAAAGGGCCTCTTTAGTTCATCCTTAGTAAACCGCGCAGAATGAAACACGAAAGGCTAAAGGAGCTCATTAAAAAGCACAAGGCAGATTTAGCCTACAGTAACAATATACGGATGCAGCAGTCTTTGAGAGGCAGGAGTAAAGCTACCGTACATCCCTTAAACAGTGTTGTAAGTACACAGGGAGGGTAGGGGGAAACTTCAAAGGAAAGAACAGATCTGTGGAGATAAGCTATGTCTGAACTTTATTTGGAACATGAAAGAACATCCAAGCTATGAGAAAGGAACAAAATGTGACCATCTTTGGACATTGTGAAATGGGGACAGAGGAAAAACTTACATGAGCCTCATATTCCCACAGTTTTGAATGTTTGAGTTGGAATTCAATTATCTCTGTACCACATCCATCATGGGGAAATACAAATGGGAAATTTCATTTTGAACATTATATAAGCCCCATTTAGGCATTTGTTTCTAAAAGGGCATTTTGAGAGTGAAATAAATGTTGTCACTTTAAACAGGGCTGGGCTGCTGGGGGTGGGTTCTCAGGGGGTTTGAGAGAGCCCCTAGCTAAGATTCTGTGCAGTTCAGAGAATGGCCCAAATCTCACTCCTAGCTGGCCACGCCCACCCCGCCTCTCCCAGGAGTCCCCACCCGGCCCGTTTTGGATGCAGGCAAGGGCGGAGGTTTGGGGAGGGAGAAAAATGGGCCTTCGGGAAGGCCAGAAATGGGCCCGTTTCCGGCTCCCAGAGAGCCTCCGGAGCCCAGGGAGGCCGTTTTTGCCCTCCTAAAGGCCCGAGGAAAGCTTCCGGAGTCTGGGAAGGGCAACCCCCCCCCCCACCGTGGTGCAAGAGGCAGACTAGGAACTCTGGGAGTTGAAGTCCACAAGTCTTAAAAGTTGCTAAGGTTGGAGACCCCTGGACTAGGCCACACCCACCATGGCCATGCCCATCCAGCAACCGGGCAGAGAACCCGTTGCTAAAATTTTTGAAGCCCACCCCTGACTTTAACCTAGTGTTTCTCAGTCTTAGCAACTTTAAGATGAGTTGACTTTAACTCCTAGAATTCTCTAGCCAGCCATGCTGGCTGGGGAGTTCTGGGAATTGAAGTCTACTCAACTTAAAATAGCTTAAGGTTGGGAAATACTGCTTCAACCTGTGTGCTCATTGACACCATGAAAGAACTATAAATGATTAGCGAGATGTGCCTTTACGGGAGCCATCATGATTTCCCTTCTGTAAAGTTCACTGGTATAACTGATTCGTCTACCTTGTTGCTGGTTGTCCTTTTCCTGCCTTTCCTTCCTACTGGGGAAATATTGGGGTCGTATGTCGGAGCATAAAAGGAGCGGCATGGTCGCCTAGTGGTGAAGAAGCTGGCCTCTCATTGAGAAGGTTAAGAGTTGAGTCCTTAGGTAGTGGCAGATGTTTCTCTCCTAGAACACACACACAAAAGATCTACTGCATGGTGTCAGGAAGAGTATCCGGCCAATAAATGCTCAGCTCCATCTAGTCACCTAGATTCTACCCTGAATTAATGGATTACAGGCTCATAAAAAGGGAGTTTTATGTCAGAGGACACAAAACAGCCAGTTTGGGGTTATAACACCAGGCTAGAAATCAGGTAAATTATGAGTTAGGCATGAAAACTGGGTGAGTCACTTTGGGCCAGTCACTCTCTTTCCGCCCAACTCACCTCATGGGGTTGTTATGAGGAAAATAGGAGGAGGAAGGAGTATTGTGTGTGTGTTGGCTGTCTTTTGTTATTTTTATAACTTTATTTCTTATTTTTTAAATACTGTTTATTAAACATTTTTTCTCATATACAACATCATTTCCATTCATTGCAATGTTTCCGTAACGGTATACATACTTTTACATAAATGTTAACTATCTCTACATTTATCTATATTCCTTAATTTATCTTTGTCCACTATAACCTTTACCTTATTGTCCTATTGTCCTATTCATCTCTGTATCTATTATTTAGCCAATCCTACAATGCATTCCACGTCAAATAATAATCCATTTCTTTTCTGTCTTTCATCTCCATGGTCAACTTATCCATCTTGGCACACTCTAATATATTTTTTTTTATCACATTTTCCTCCAGTGAAAATTTATAACTCTATTATATATGCCTTTACTACAGTATATATAGGGAGCTTGGTGCTCATGAAGATCAGAGCATAAATCAGATAAGTAGATAAAGAGAGCAGAAAAATTGAGTAACCATGTCCAGTATGAAGTGTTCTACAAGATGGCGTTAGTTTTTGACAATTCAAGGGATCTGATGTATAGAGCAAACTGTTTTTGATCTACAATGTATATGCAGCCAAATAAATTAAAACCTATAGAAATATGCTCCATAGCTGTTTAGAAGTCAGGAAGGAGTTTTCTGTACAGATTTTTGTGACAATTATAGGGAGCCTGTAGTAAACTATTGTTAGGGGTTTCCTTCTTCCTCCAAGCATGATTAAAAATTTCCTGATGCAGTAGTTACATTTGGCAGCTAGTCATACCAAAACATGGAACTAATCAATAGACTCAGTGCATAGACTATTGGGAAAATAATCTTTTTTTTTTTTTGCTTGTTCATTCTAGCAGTTTGGAACTGACTGCCTCTTGAGTCTTGGCAGCTTTATAATACCAGAAAAAATCTTAAGTGACCTGAGTAATTAACAATCCTTCCTTATTCAATAGGGCTCCATGTTCAGGCTGCACCCAAGCCTAGGAGAATACCCAGATCTTCAATAGCTTCCTAAATAATCATCAGGGTGGGAACCATCCAAATCTTTGAGGGTTATCATTCCAGAGGGCAGATACTACAACTAAGTAGGCTCCTTGGGTCCTGCTAGGCTTCATTGTTTAACCAATGAGACTCAAAGCATGTCGACTCTACCCAATCACATGGGACAGCAGGAGATAGGTGGTTCCTCAAATCAATTGGACTTGTGTCATGAAGGGCTTATAGGAGATAACCAGTATTTTGAATTGTGCTTGGAAGACTGCTAATAAACAATGGTTCACAGGAGCACAGTGGTGGTATTCTACTGGTTCGGCCCAGTTCGGCTGAGCCAGTAGTGGCAATGGAGACCAAACTGGTTCTCTCCGCTTGTCTGCTGTTGGGCCCACCCGCTGGCCTGGGCTCCCATACTCACCTTTATCCTCTGCTTTTGAAGCGCAGCTGCTTTGCACGGAACAGCAGAGTGCCACGTGGCAGCTGCTGAAGCAACTGGGAGAGTGCAGGCTTGCAGGAGGTGAGTTGGAACGCCTCTGTGCCTGTGCAAAGTGTGCGTCTGGTGCATGCACACACACAAAGTGCGTGCACATGTGCAAAGCGCACCCACCAAGCCACATTCACCGAACTGGTAGTAAAACTTTCTGAATCCCACCACTGCAGGAGCATAATAAAGCATGCACACCTACTGCCTACACCACTGCATTCTGGACCACTGTATGTCAAGCGCTAGGGAAATGAGGAGATATAGGCCAGTGGTGGCTAACCTTCTTAGGCTCCTCTGCCAAAAATTGTGCGTGCGCTTGCACACTCGCGCTCGCGTGCCAGCACTCAGAAGGCAATGCGCACCTGCCATGGTCCCTATGCATGCACAATCCCCAGCCACCCATCCCCTGCCACCCCCTTACCTGCACTGCACCTCACAGCTGATTTGAGGCCAGTTTGAGGCCTTTTTCGGCCTCCCAGAGGCTTTAGGAAGGCTTCTGCAGGCTTTGCAGGCCGAAAACTAGGCCCATTTCATCACTTCTGGTATTTCCGGAAAAAACAGGAAGTGATGAAACAGCTCTAGTAGATTAGAAGCCTGCAGAAGCCTTCCTAAAGCCTCTGGGAGGCCAAAAAAGGCCTCAAACCAGCCGAAAATCAGCTGTGAGGCGCATGCATGCTCAGTGAGGTAAGTTTGCTTGTAGCTCGCATGCCAGCACAAATGGCTCTGTGTGCCACCTGTGTGCCAGAGGTTTGCCATCACGGATATAGGCAGTTCAAATGGGTATAAAGGTTTATTGCCAGCTTAAAGTCTTTATAAGAATCTGAACTTCTAACAGCCCAGGCAAATTGGCGGTAGATAAAGGTCACAGGAATTCAAAGTGGATTGGACTTGGACAAACTTGACATCTTTAAGACTTGTGGACTTCAGCTCCCAGAATTCCTCCTCCAGTCATGTTAGCTCAGGAATTCCGGAGGTTGAAGTCCACAAGTCTTAAACTTGCCAAGTTTGAAGACCCTTGGACTTGCATCTCTTGAAGGGGCAAAGGGATTCATGACTGATGATGTGTTTGATTCTTCCTTTGGGCCCAGGCTGGTCATATCCTAGATCCGTGATGGTGAACCTGTGGCACGCGTGCCACAAGTGGCATGCAGAGCCATTTGTGCTGGCATATGAGCCCCAGGCAAACTTACCTCACTGTGCATGCGCGCGCCTCACAGCTGATTTTTCGGCTGGTTTGAGGCCTTTTTTGACCTCCCAGAGGCTTGGAAAAAACCTCTGCAAGGTTTTTCAAGATGAATAATAGGCCTGTTTCATCACTTCCTGTAATACTGGAAGTGATGAAATGGGCCTA